TTTTTATTTTAACAAAGTCCTTTGACAATGGAGGGCGGTGGGGCAGATGGGTGTTCTGTGCTGACGTCCATGGAGAAGATGGCAGTGGCAGCGGCAGCGCTGGCCATCATCGTCCCCTGTGACGTAGAGAGAGTGTACGGGCACATGAAGGCAAAGCTGTCGAGGCGCAGGCAAAGACTTCTCATACCAGTAGTGTTTGATGCCCCTGACTGCATAGCAACTTCGGAGGCCATCGTCCAACTGTGCGCTGCGCTGGGTTCCGGTGTGCTTCCTCATGCAACACCAAGATGGTGGATGAAACGGAGAACGGGAGGGACGTGGAAAGATCTGCGGGTGTGTGATGACGCCACGGACGACTACTTCTGATATTCCTCGTCTAGTTCCTCCCAGGAAGTCGCCCCAGAAAACAGCAGTCGACGAACACGACAACCAAGACAAGCGCCACGGCAATGAGCAGCAGCAGTAGCAGCCTGCTGTGGAGGTCAGCCATAAACGATAGGGGACAAGGACACTCCACAGCCATAAAAGGTTAATCTCGGTAGAAACTCAAAGGTTAATCTCGGTAGTCACTTCAATGTCCGAGGCAGTTCATGGCTTTCTCATAGGATACAGGGTCCCAATACTGTGTTCCTGCTAACGGATCGCGCTGTCATTTTGACTCTAGCAGACCTGAAAGATAGCTTGTATACATTCATTATCAGGGTACATCGTGCTCGGCGGAAGACCCTAGCAGCCAGATAGGTGCATACGCGACGTGATCCAATTGATTGTCTACAACGAAGATCAATGATCTGCATGGCTACTAGTAGCAATCAGTTCGCCCGCATCTGTGGGACCGTACGAAGGGTCTCTTGGGCAGCTCCTTTTCCATTCCAAGCCCACAATCTCAGCTGCTGTGCTAATACTCGGACCGTGCCAAAGGTCTCTCCTGCAGATCCCATAGCTGACAAGGGGGGGGGAAGGGGGGGGGAAGTGGGGGGGGAGGCGGGGTAGAGAGTTCTCCATCGAACTGGAAGATGCATCCGGACATTTGGTACTACGAAGGGGAAACAAAAAAGAAGAGGTTAGGCGGGAGAGGGGTATTATAATACCCCTCCTTCCCTTGCCAGATGATTCGGCTGAGGTCCCAAATGACGCTAATCACACCCCATGACTGTCGGTCGCCATGAAAGACGACAACATTCCTAATCAGAGCTGTTTTCAAGTGAACTGATAATGAAAGCGGAGCTTTTAACTAAACACGGCCATGGGAGCTGGGAACTGGCTAAGTCTTTTTTTGCATTGTGTCGGCCCAATCCTTTCGGATCTTTTGCGCAATCATTTCTTAAGTTTTTTAACTTTCTTTTTCTGTTCCTCTTCTTCTCAATCGGATTCCTTTCTTATCTTGTATTCAATTTCTACTCTTCTACATCCCAATCTGTGCCGCACTAATTAACCTTTTTTTTTCTTTTTCTTTTTTTTTCTTTTTTCCCCTCCCCGGCCTCCCTTTTGAAAAATGTGGACCATATCTCGATTTATGCCTGTCATCCTTCTTCTTTTTTTTCCATGTGTAAACCTTCTATCCCGGCGGTGGTAAGAGAACCGTCAGGATTGAGGGTTTATCTGTCAGGCTGCTCCATCTATTGGCGGGGACCGCCACCTGCTAAGAACCGAAATTCAACATCCCATTGATACAACTTATAACACAGAGAAAAAAAAAAAAAAAAAAACACAGAGATCGCTGTTTGTTGTTTCCTGTGGCTGTGGGCTTTCCTCTTCTCAGACCCGGGTCTTGCGCAGTGGCCATGCTAATCTTCTTTCTCTGTATCGTTCCAATTTGAAATTTAAATTTTTTCTTCCGGACATTTTCTGGATACGATATGCTCAGGGACAGAGAAGCAAACAAGAAGAGCCTGCACCAGACTAAAAACTAACAACAGGCTTTCGGTCGAAGACCGAATAGAACAACCGGTACTTATCGCTGTATCTGGGCTGCAAGTTGTGCCAAATACAGCTTTAATGCCCGGGCGTTCTATTCGGGTGAAGACGGTTCGAATCCAGATGGAATCGCACGGACAGAAATAAAATAATTATGAATCACCTCCGGCCAGGCAGTTCCATGATGATGTCTCACGGTCGGAGGCGTTTCGAGGGGAAAAAAAAAAAAAAAAAAAACGATTGACAGAAGGAACAGACCGGAACAGATATACCATGCATTCATTGCATTGTGCATTCAAGAATAAAAAAAGCCAGAGTAGCTGCTTCAGGCGACCCTACTGCCTATTATAGTGTCCAGAGGAGAAGCAGAGTAGGAGAAATGAATGAAATCACATGCCCTACATTTGGTTTTGATCAGACACGCTCCCCACCAATAGATGGAGCCTTTCCCCGAGTGGTTAAAAAAAAAAAAAAAAAAAAAAAAGGGTTTGATCAGACACGAATAATAACCCTCCACGATGTAGAAATTATGAAAGCATGCAAATATAACAGAATGGTGATGGGAGGTGTGTTTTTCAGGGCTCAGGATTTAGGTGAAAGAAGAAAAAGTAAAGGGGAGAAGAGGGAGGAAGGGTGAAACAAGAGAGAATGCAGGGGAGGGAGGGAAGGGGGGGGGGGGGGGGGGGGGGGGGGGGGGGAGGGGGGGGAAAAAAGGGGAGAAAAAAGGGGGAAGGCCGGGAAAGACGGTTTTTTTTTTTTAAATCTTTATCCATTCAGCACCAACCACTTAACAGTGAAAGGGGTACGCGATATGGAGCAGACAGTTCTCTCAAGAGGTAGACCATTACTTTTCAGGGCCGCCAAACGGCAACGAGAAAGAAAAGAAAAGAGGGGAAAACATAAAAAAAGGATCAGTGATAAGGAGCAGACCTCAAGAGGAGTCCTTCTAGATATCCGTTAAAAAAAAAAAAAAAAAAACAACAACAACAACAACAACAACAACTTAAAACTGAAATGATACAAAGAAAGAAGACATAAGCATGGGCCCCTGCGCAAGGGGAAAAAAAAAAGGAGTACAGCCTGACCAGGACCGAGGTCCCACTAGCGAAGGGGATTGGATTGAACGCCTGAATCTGGACGGGTTTGAGCAAAGGTACAGAATATCGAGCTTGAACTGCTTTTCTGCATCTCTGCTTCAAACACGTCCAGATTCAGGAGCTTAATCCAATCCTCTTTGCTAGTGGGACCTCGGCCCAGGACCGAAAAACCAAGCCACTGAATTAGACATCTGAACATGTTATATGCTGCAGAAGCCCCAAAACAAATGTGAGAATGCAATTTGAAAAAAAGAAAAAGAAAAAGGACAAGAAAAAGAGGCTAGAACGTAGCCCCATTAAACCACCATTATGTGTCCCATATGTCGGCCGCGGGCACTGCGCGCCGGCCCGAAAATCAAGACTGGCCGCCGATTCGATTTATCGGCCACCACCGTTTCGTTTCAGGCCAGCGCGTTAGGCAACGCGTTAGGCAGCGCGTTAGCCAGCGCGCCTCTGAAAAAATAGCTGGGAAAGGTACTGGTGATTTACCAGAGGAGGGAAGAGAGCAAACTGGGTGTCAGACGTCAAACAGGCCCTGGAGCATCCGGCTCACCGCTCCGCATTTTCTTGAGATAAAATCGCTGATGCGCCTCAACGACTTCAAGATTCCAGATCGCTTCGCGGTTAACGCACTCTGTCAAGTCGACAATCTTGTGAACGACGACGAGCGGGCGATGCTCACCGTCGGCAGGACACTGAGCGACCCCGCCTGCGACGAGAACATATCTTCCTGTCTTCCACTTGCCATGATCCGGCTGCTTTGAAAAATCAAGGTCCACCAGACCGCTGCCGTCATCCAGAACGCAGCGAGACCCCTCGACATCGCTCACAAGAAAGCCCTGAAGGCACACCCGCTGAAATTCCAGGCCACCGATCATCAGGATCTTTGCGGCCTGATCCGACCACCTTGCCGCCCCCAGCTCTGAGATGAAAATTTTCAAAGCGAATAAATCGTAATCCATCGACATCTTACTCTTTTTTTTTTTTTTTTTTTCCCAATTTTCAATCCTATTCACAACCACACGATGACCTGAAATACTAACCGCTGTCTTTTTTTTTTTTTTTTTTTTTTAATGAAACAGCCTAACCGCTGTCAAACCTCCAATGAACGGAAGAGTCGAATCGAGGTTCACAGACGCTTTTTTCGAGTGGAAAGACGGGCCAGATCAGCAGCAGCAGACGCTCCAACCGCAGTCCGCACAATCTGCAATCGCACTTAATTGTCTTTTTTGTCCGGTATCAACATGGACAATCACTTCATCGCCAAAGATGCCCCTCGTAGGGCCTCGCTCCACCACTCGCCAAATGTGAAAATTGAGGATGAATCTTCCGCTAGAACATGGGAAGATACATCACCATATTTTTCGTCTTTTGTGCATCTGTAGAGTAGTGGAGCGAAGCCCTTAACCTAACCCAAGAGACCCGATTTTGTGCCTTCCCGTTTCAAGACATGAATTTGTGAAAATATCTCACCAGACACTGGACGAGTCACAGAACATGCGCTCTAATAGACGAGCCCCCATCAGGCCACAGAGCCTTGACGTCTTAACTGTCGCTTTGTTGTGTACACGAACCCCCTCAACTCAAAGACCAAACAAAGTATCACGCGTCAAAGAAGCTTAACATCGACACTGTCCACTTCTGTAAGCAAGACTCCTCCGGCTTCACGCAGAACACCAACCTTTACCTCTCTACTCAAGAAAAAAACATTTTGGCCCCTCCCCAAGCCACGCCAATTGCAGAGGATGTCTCTCTTCGCATCATAAAAGCTGCACCTTCTCTTCAATCAAAAACTCTTCACATTCCGGAGGAAAGGACTTCCAGCTTCAGCCTGACATAGCCAGTCTTTGCTGTCGCGAGACTGATGTAGCGAGTCTTTGCTGTCGCGAGACTGACGAAGCGAGTCTTTGCTGTCGCGAGACTGACAAAGCGAGTCTTTGCTGTCGCAAGGCTGACGAAGCGAGTCTTTGCTTTCGATGGCTCTTGACTTTAAGTGAACCAATATAAACACTCAATGAAAGTTACCCTTCGATTTTGCCACGAACAAGACCCACCTGCGCGACCAGGAACATCCTTGCACAGCTATTCGCTATGCTAACTTCTTCTTTTCCGGCTGTATCCTTCCGATCACGACGAATGTCCCAACAGATGTCACAATCAAGGACGACGAATGTCCCAACAGACACGACAATCAAGGACATCCACGATCGCACCAAAGAATATTCGCCTTTGCAAGAAAGAACACTCGCCTTCACTCTTCGAGTAAGAAGGCCTGCAACGAGTCTTCACATTCGCAATGAAACATGCACCGCCCCGAACCGACCTCAGGGAGACCATCAGCAGGTTGAGGAACGTTCGTCTTCCGTTCTGCGAACCTTCACAGCGAAGAGAAGAGGTAGCACACATCATCAGCGCTGTTGTCAGTGACACCACCACTTTCTTTTCTTTCCCACTGTCCACAATGTGCCAACAGAAACCAAATCTGCATCCTTCTCCACGCTGACTCGCATATGCTTGGTCTGCCCTTTCAACCCGGCCAGTGAGAATGCCTAAAAATAAGTCAATAACACCATCTGAAGGGATGCTCAACCAGAAGTAACCACAGTTACAGCCTCCGACAGGGATGATTAACCAGAAGTAGCCACAGTTACAGCCTCCTCTGACAGGGATGGTGAAGCAGAAGTAACCACAGTTACAGCCTCCTCTGACAGGGATGGTTAAGCAGAAGTAACCACAGTTAAAAACTCTGACAGGGATGGTTAAGCAGAAGTAACCACAGTTAGAGCCTCTGACAGGGATGGTTAAGCACAAGTAACCACAGTTACAGCCTCCTCTGACAGGGATGGTTAAGCAGAAGTAACCACAGTTACAGCCTCCTCTGACAAACCCAGCCGCACTATTCCAGTCTGACCTTATCTAGTTAACAGTTTTACAGTCTTGTCCAGGTGCATCTGTACCCAGATGTACAGTCTGACCATGTCCAGGTGCATCTGTACAGTCAGCTGTACAGTCTGACCTTGTCCAGGTGCAGCTGTACAGTCAACTGTACAGTCTGACCTTGTCCAGGTGCAGCTGTACAGTCTGATGTTATCAAGTCACAGTTGTATCAGTTTGACCTTGTCCAGGTGCAGATGTACAGTCAGCTGTACAGTATGACCTTGTCCAGGTGCACTCGCAGTTAAATTCTGACGTTATTCGGTGGCAGTTGTAAAGTCCTCTACCTTAACCAGTTGCAATTTTAAACTCTCAGGGGGAGTCTCAGCTCAGCCGGCTACTTTTTAACTATCTGACTTAACCTGCTGCAAGTTCTGCGCTGACACAACCTGCTGCTGCACAGGTGTTCAACAATTACCACTTGTTGGAGTAGCCCGTGTACCGACGGTCATTATCGCCTCCCACCTGCGCTCTTCTTAAGGTCATCATACTCACACCCGGAGCTTTCGAAACTGAATCTTCGATCTAGCACTTCCATTGCCGCCGCCGGATAATTGCATAAAAATTAACAGATACGTGCGTGAGAGTACCGCCCTAACGACTAGTTCTACGCATATCTACTATTCCCTAAGGTTTAGTTCTACGCATATCTACTACTGTTATAACAATTTATTATGCGTTAGTATACCTCCCTGTGTTGTTTGGCTGAATCTACTAAAAAAAACCCATTTAGGGAAAACCAAATGGCAAAAATGCACCTCGGGAACCCCCCCCATAATGGCCCTGCAATCTAGGGTTCCCAACCCCCCCCCAAGATTCTTATCGTTTGGTATAGCTTGCAATAAATAATTTGCCTGCTCATTAATCCTAGCTGCAGTTTATTGTTCGACATAACCAACACTCTGCGACTTAACCTAACCTGCAGTTTATAGCTTGGCATTAACTGCACTTTATAGTTCGGCATTAACTGCAGTTTGCAGTTCGGCATTAACTGCAGTTTACTGTTTGGCATTACCTGCACCTGCAATTTATGCGCGCTCGAAAAGGCGAAATGCAGCTTGCGTCCTGACATAATCGCCGTCTGTTTCCACGTTACGATACCTGTTTCCACATCCCACTGTCTGTCTCCAAATTACAGAATGCGGTGCAGAGTACTGCAGACCCTCCCTCTGACGAGTGCTGACCTGTTAGATGTTTTCACACACGAACACAAACAACCGGAACAAGCTTCAACAACTCACAATTCTCCTTTCTCCTTTTTCTTGCCCTCTCTTTCTCACTTCCTCCAGACAAACTTATAGACATACACTGTCTGTCGGTGTCGCGGATCTTCTTTTTTCCCTCCCCTTCTCCAGACAAACTTATAGTCTTATACACACACTGTCAGTGTCCCAGTTCTTCTTTTTCCCTCCCTCCCACTTCTCCAGAAATAAACTTATGCCTGGACTTTCCCTTTCCCAGTTAAAGTGTCTGTTAAACTCTGTTTCCAATTTCCAAATTACCATATCATGTCTGTTTCCCAGTCACAGTGTCTGTTTCCAAATTACTAAGTCTGTGTTTTTTAAATTACTTTGTCCAAAAAAAAAAAAAAAAAAAAAAAAACTCTGTTTCCAATTTCCAAATTTCCATACCATGTCTGCTTCCCAGTTACAGTGTCTGTTTCCAAATTACTAAGTCTGTGTTTTCCAAATTACTATGTCCAAAAAAAAAAAAAAAAAAAAACATGTCTACTTCCAAATTACCATGTCTGTTTCCA